TGTCTTTTTAGGGTCGTGCAAAACATGCGCAAGTTTCAAAATTACATTGGTAGGATGATGGAAGTACCCTGTAGAACATTACAGGATACATGGTAAAGACAAATGCAGAGAAATAAATTAAAGAAGTGGAAGGGAAAATGAGAGGTGACCATAGAAACTCTAACTTGCTTTTGAATTTCTATGACCACCTCTCATTTTTTCTACCACTCCTTTAATTTATTTCTCTGCATTTGTCTTTACCAGAATAAGAAGGAGCAAGGGTTTGTCAAAATAGAACTTGAAGAGAAGAAAATTTTCGAAAGAGAGAGGAAGAGATTGATTCGAAGGAAGGAGAAATAAGCCGGTAAACAATTTTTTATATAAAAAAACATACATATAAATATATATAAAATTATATATAAAGTTATATATAAAATATGTCTATATGTGTATTCCTTTTCTTGCATAATCTCTATTCGTATGTACAGAACAAATAATGAGAAAAATTCGAGAATTGTTTTTCGTAAGGTAGAAATTATACAAAAGAAAGAAAACATATGAATATATTTTATACATAATTATATATATATTATATATATATTTTTTATATAAAAAATATTTAATCGAGAATGGATGGCAGGAGAAATAGAAAAAACTTGATTTGTGAAAAATTAGTATAGAGGGAAAAGAAATTTAAAAGAAATAAAAAAGTAAGGAAAGATAATAAGAAAAGATAAATCGTTTAAAATATATAATAGATGATACGGGAGAAAAAGAATATCAGAATATCTAAAAAATGAATAGAGGTAGTAGATGAAGAAGGGCTAAATTCAGATTTCAAAGTGCTATGAAAGGGAAAACATTAGGAGAAAGAAAAAAAAGATATTGTGTTAAATGTACGGAAAAACTTTAAGTTTGACTATATTATACGGAAAAGATAGAGGATTTGGGAGGATATAAAACAGTTAATACGAAATATGCAAATGCTGTAGCATAGAAGTGAATAGAAATAAACTAGAGAATTGGAGATAGTAACAGAAAAAGAGAAGGTAAACTGGAAAAAAGAGGGAATTGAAGAAAGAACAAAAATTAAAAAGGAATAAGAAAGAAAGAAAGGAAAGGAGGAGGAGAAGAAGGAGGAGAGAGAGGAAAAAAGAAGGAGGGAAGGAGAGAGATAGATATATCTATGATATATCTAGAAACGGAAAGGGTAATCGCAAAGATAGATACGCGTGCAGTTACCTAACTTAAACGGAGATGAAACGAACGAAGAAACAAGCACGCTGTGAGACAAGCATGAGTGGCAATTATAGAAGTATTAAAATATGATGTTGCGTGTGTAAATGTGAGGCGTGAATGAGGAAAACGTTGTAGAAATAAGTTGAGAGAAAAGCTAATTGTAAGGAGAATAAAATTGTTTTAACTTTTAACAGAATAAATAAATACATTATTATATCACTTCATAAAATAATTGATTAATTGTTAATATTCTAATTCATGTTTTACTTTTAGATATCAAAATACATTACGGATTGAAAGGCTCCAGCATGGGCTCATTCTTCAGCTCATTATTCAGCAACAACCTTCCTCCAAACACCATGCAAAATCATAAGCTTCTGTTAGACGCCATAGGACGCAAGGACTTACAATCTTTCGAACAGATTGTGAAGGAAATGTTGGAAAAGGAAC